AAAAAAGTGGACCAAAAGCGAGAGTAAACTGTAAAAAATAAAAAATGCTATCCATATACGGTACGGGCAAATACGGCTGTATTACTGCCCATGTTAAAACGGGATAATACGGCGCCGTAACGAGCCGCATTTTCATTGTAAACGATCGTAATTACACTGTATCCTCATGGTTTACTGTCGTATACAATGCCGTTACGGCCGTCCGTTTTAACTGACCTGGGTCGTACAAAATAAATAAAAGAAAATTCTTTTCTCAATTTTCAATGGTTCTTCAAACCCATCTTTTGCTTTTTAAGGTCTATTTAAAAATGTTCTCATTTACAGTTTCATGTCGAAAGTTTATTACTTACCCTTGACCTCGATAGACAGTTAATATCTGACCATTATTTATTGTTTTATGAAGATGTTCAAGTTGTTGATGAAGATCATAAATAAAGAAATTCATCTTGATCAAAATCTCCGTATCCTGCTTACATAATGCTCGATTTAGCATTGAATAAATAAAACATTCACGTGTATACCACCAAATAGGAGATGGATTGCTATAATTTTGTTCGAATTCTTCGATTACACACAATTCTGCATTATTCTCAGCATAGTAAATTCGACAAAAATCAATAAAATCTTTTTTCGCTTGTTCACGAGTCGTATCATCATATTCTATATTGAGTATAATGTCTTTAAGTAATTGCGAGTACATGAATGATGCATCAAGATAATTAGAAATTCTTGATGTTTGTGAACTAAGTGTCTGAATAGAAGTCAATTCATGTTGACTCTGTTTAATATCTTCTTTGAGTCGATTACAAATATCTTGAATATCTATAAAGATGCCTTTGATTTTTTGATGTTGCTCTTTACTAGCCCATTGTTCATGGTTGCATTTTTTTAAACAAAATACATAAATCGAATCAAGTTTAATGTCATGTTCAATTCTAGGTACTAATTGTTGTCCCAACGAGCCCGAAACAATTAAAAAAACCTTTTCTTCTTTCACTTGATTGTTAATAAAATCAATACATGACTCACATGTATCAAATGTTTTGATTGTATTGACAATATGGCGAAGTGCTGTAATCGATGTTTGAATATCATTATTCATTCTATTTCTGCGACAAAGTTTCGAGTCCACCCAGATAATAATAAAATTTTCAATGAAACGATTTTCGTGTTGTTGATCAGCCATAACTTATTCACATACGTCGATCGTTGCTTTTCGTTATCAAAAGATAGTTATTTTATTACACTTGCTATTAATCGAGCAAAAAGACAAGAAATATTATGTTTCATTTCACTGAGCCCATTACAGTCAATGAAGCATGATAATTAATGTAAAATAATGTATCATGTGCGTTTTTAATGTAGAACGCACTAAAAAAAAAGAATATTTTCAAAACATCATATGAAATACTTTACAAACTTGATAAACGATGAATAAATTTAATATTCATGGTGATCAATAAAGATAAAGAGATATTGCTTTTCAGAGAAGAATAGAAAACTATTGAATATTTAATTCCCTTGGTCGAAGTGAAGGTCATATGAAATAAAAATGAGTTTGTTTGCTTGTACTTGTAGAGTCACATGTGCACGTATATTTGTGTGACGATTTTTTATGAAGTATTATCTAAGGTAATCGGAGTCTTGGATGTGGATGTGAGAGTAGATGTAAATCAATCGAAAAACAGATTGATATCTATCTCTTAACGAAGAAGACAAGTTCAATCTGCTGGGTATCAACTTTCGCTTTTCAGCAATCGATCAAGTCGAATGAATATTAAATTATAGATAATGATAATGTACTTAATAAAATAATCAATAAAAAGAAATGTAGAGTTATTTATTGAAATATAAACATTCATCAGTGCTCTACATTACAAATTTTAAGCACAAACAGAGCAAAAGAGAAAAATTTTAAATTAAAATTTATTTAAGAGAAAAAAAGGAATAAATCAAAAAATGAAACAATTTTAATATATAAAAACCGTTTTGGGGTAGGAGACTGGAAGATGTTTAATTTCACTGTCGATAAGAAATATTTCAATATTCAATTGGACAACAATAAATGAATATCTTCATTTTTTGAATCATGGCAACAAAGTAATTGATCAAATTCGAAACAACTATCAAAAAAAGTTGTGTTTCTGGAGGAAATATTAATTTTAAAATATAATAGTAAAATAATCAATTAACGAAAAAGGTATAAGCCGACACTATTTAGTTTTTGAACTGAGTTTATAATAAATTTTCTATTGAAAATCATTTTTAACTTTATCAATATGTATATAACATAGTCTTGAATACCTAAACTTCATAATAAATTCAGAAAAATGTAATTATTTTGAGTAAGAAATAAGTCGATTTCGACTTTCAAAGTGGAAACGTTTGTATCAAATAATAAAATAAAATAATGTAAGCTAACTCGTATAATGATTCAATAATATAAAATCGAATCAAATATCCAAAATGCGAAACAAATTGAACTGTATTAAATCATAACAATTTAAATTCATATTGTGATAGATTAATTTATAATACGAAATCAAACCATTAAATATAGCAAATTTAAATACTGCATAATAGTTTTTCTAATAATATGTTATAAATACATTGAACAAATATTTACTAATAAAAATGATGTGGACTTTAAAAATAGTATATTTAATTATATTTCAATAATATAATTTTGATGATGATAGAAAGGATCTGATTTTTCTTAGCTAAATAATACATAATTATAACTTATATCTTTATATTCCTTGAATAGATGATTATTTTATATCGATAAATATATATTCCAAATTCAAAAATTATAAGTGACTCATTTATAATCAATAGAAGTGAATAAAATATTTTATGGTAGTTATCACAAAATAAAACTTAAAATATTTATAGTTATACTTTAATTTGTTTCAACTGACTATATATACATAGTACTGATTGCAGGCATAAAGAAGTTAGTTTATATCGAAACATAAATTGGCTATCAAGGTGTGAATGTGGGTGTTAGTCTACTTTTCACCTACATCCACACGCATCAATGGATAATCCTCATTGACCTTTTTTAAGAAGTTTAATTCAGCATCACGTCTATTACATACACACCCACACCCAGAGGTGACAGCAACGTTTTCTTCTGATAGTCATTCTAGAAAATTGTTATATTCACTAAGATGTGAAACCAATACCTTTTAAGTTTGAGGACCAAAGAATAGAATTATTCTATATTAAGATATTAAATCGGCACTAAGTCTTATCTTGATTAATCATACATAAACAGTCTGTAAGAAAAAAAAAACAGCAGAATTATATTTCAGAAAAGCTATAAAATAGAAAACATTATTGTGTCTTTTTCTCGGAAGGAATTTGTTTATCATTTTTCCAATCATAATATCGTAATAATGTGAGTAACCATCCAAGAATATTAAATCCAAATGCAAACGAATGGTAAAAATTTAAATCCCGAGCAAGATGTTTTGAAGGTTTTTCAGCTAGATGCGATTCTAACGGCATTACACAGACGAACATCGTGTATACTATACCAAAAAATTGTATAGCTTTTAAAATATCGATCACATTACGTCTGATCGTAGCTTTTTTAGTAAACATGTGAATTAAATCACGAAGTGCATCAATCATGGATAATGGTAAAACAATCATTGTACATAATTGCCACCATTTCCATATGGGTGCTTGACTTTTGAACATTATATATTCTTGATAAAGTTCCGGTTTCTTCTCTCGTAGCACATACATCGACAAACTGAAATCAATAAGTTCCACAGTTAAAAAATATGTACCTATAACTAAACCAATGATTAATTGTGATGTAGAAAATGGATTTTTGTATTGATTAACATCGACATCATTGATACGTTTGACAGTTGACATCTTTTTCAAGGACGAATGATATTCTTATAAATCTATGGTGAATAAGAAAGAGAAGTCAACCACAAAAGTATATGGATTTCAAATGAAAACAATACTAATATCTTGAATATCTTTAAGACAGGTAAGGAAATCAAAACAAGTGATCACATACTAACGTAAGTTGAAAAGATTCACACGATAATAGTAATCACGTAGAGAGATTCCGCTCGACTAGAGACAAAAAAACAATCTGACTATCTCTAAGATGAATCTTTTCACTAGTTATTCACATTACATCGAACAACGAAAATGTCAACTTTCACAGTTATCACTATCTGACATCGACACAAATGATAAAGGCTAACAAGGTCTTCATTTTATACTCAAACACTAGTAATATTATTTTTTTGCTTGTTTATTATTTATGTTAATAGGTATTTTTCATCTTCATTGTATACTATCCTCGTGCTTTGAAGAAATATGGTGAACACTGTTACCTATTTTACTGTGATCGATCGTGTGTATTGATTTAGCAAAACGAAAAAATTTCGAAATAACTGCATGTTGATATTCTTGACTAGTGAGATAGATCTTTATCCATACAAATGAGAAGGAAAGGTGAGTATTGATCAACAAATATTAAGGCACACAAGAGAAAGATTTCTTGATTAAGGACAAGGATGAGTGAGTAATAGTAATAATCTTTCTTGAATTCTTATCGTTAGGTAGGCAACGAACCATAAAATAAATTATGATGTTTGCCAATGACACGTTTAAATTTCGATTTTTTTTTGAGTCGTCATTTTTTTCTTTCTATGTAAACTGTTTCGACAGGTTTTTTTTTTCGTTCTGTCAAATCAATTTTATACTGATCGATACTCTAGTTAAACAAGTACACTCATTAACAGCCGTGCAAATATAAGCTCAAATAAAAGAATAGTGATCATCATGGAAATAAGCATGCAAAAGTCCCAACGAATGATCGAGTGCATGCCAGTCAGAATGTCTAATCTCTTGTACCATCATTTTCTTTTATTAACGAGTCATGTGATTACTCCATTTTCTATTGAATGAAGAAAAAAAAATCAATGAAGAGAGATAAAAACACAGCATAAGAAGCTTGATTGATGTATCTATCACCATGCATTATGAGAGAAAATTATGGGTATGACACCATTCTTACGAGAGATGATCACCAAGTTCGCCTTCTTCTTTATCGAGCTCGATGAGTTGTTCTCAATGATATTAATCTACTGAAAAAAGAAACAGTCGGTACTGGTTGTAAAAAAAATATAGAAAGCATGAGCACTGAAGATATTGTGTAGAGGGATCTAAACTTATCAGTCAGCCTTAAGAATAAGGTAGAGATCTACAACTTTCACGATTCGAGAGAGAAATTTTGCTAATCCATAGTTTCACGTATTATTTAAAAGTGTTGATTGATGAACAAATAGTTAGTCAGTGATCTTCGAGAACATGCAGATAGATCTATGAACGTGGTAGAGAAGTGTTGCTCTAAGAATTATTACTGGAAACGCGTTCTCACGAATCAGACAGATGTAACAATTAGTCTTGAGCACACATTTTTAGCACTATTCTGAGGATATCAACTGATATTGTTGAATAATTCATAAAACTATCAGTTCACACAGCCACACTTGGAGATCTCCCTAGACTAAGATCAAAACTAATTCAGATCATCTGTAGATGATTATATCATCTAGATTCTTTACATTGCTCATTCATATCACTTTCCGTGATATATAGAATTATCTGAATCTCAAACTAATGAATGAAATATCAGATGATGTTTCTGGAACACCTCCGACAATTCTCTTCGTTCTTTGAAATTCGTGGTTAATCAGTGTAAAATATAAGGTTACTGAATTACTTTCCTGTTTAAAAATCAGCTTGATTTATTCTACTATCATCCAACGACCAATATTTGTATTTTCATCGACAGAATATCGCGAGTAGAATATTTTTTTATATCATATACATTTTTTGCTACAGTAATTCGTATCCCTTCTTTTTCTTTCTTCTGTTCCCTTCACATGTGTACATGGACAGAACAATGTGAGAAAGAAAGAAAAAATATTCTTCTTCGTATACTCTTCTTCTCTTCGTTCTATTCTTGAATCTGCACTCAATTACCTCATAAACGATCAGTCGAGAGAAGATAGTAAAATGAGTCAGAAAATAAAGTATAAATACAAAATACACAATCTTCTTCGAGTATCAAACTAGTAAGTAATGTCGTTAGGCCAAGGAAATAGTTCAGCTCATGCGCCTGAAAGTGGAACAGGATTGGATACTGGTGGACAATGTCATGGTGCATCATCAGGAAACAGCTCTAGCATTGATAATGCACTGGAAAGTGGAACCAAAGGTGGTAGTAGTGCAGGTGAACATGTTTCATATTATCTCATCGAAACACCAGTATTAATAAAAAAAATATTTCTTAATGGAAAGATTGATGCTTCATATTACTCAGTAGGAGATGATTGTTATCTATTCATTAATGTTAAAGCATCTCATGACAAATATAGAATATATCTAGTTTGTAGACCATTGATTACTCTAGAGAATACATGAAATCAA